GAACATTTGCACTTGATTGTGTGAATATTTAACACGTCAAAATTTTACAAGTGTTTAAAAAAAAAATGATAATAACATGTCAACATACAGAAATGAGCAGTCATATTTTAAAACACATTTTAATTGTAAAAGCTGTCTTGCCCAACAGCACTTACCAGCGGTCGACAGCGTCCCATGCACAGACGATCATGGCGTTCGCGCTCATATCTGCGGGCACTATGTCTACAGGATAGTCGATACTGTAGACCACGTGGATGGCACCCATCGCGATTTTTATGAAAAAATCGGCGGGCCCGTTTTTTGAGTCGCAGTAGCCTGGCGTTGGCTCCTTGTACGAGGATATCACTGCAATTCACAGTAAGGGTTAATTTTTTTGCTTTAAAAAATGGCTTATTTAGAAAAATTTTTATGAAAAGTAGTTTGTCAGAAAAATCCAGAGAGAGACGATTTATTCTTTCGTGGATATACGTATCAGTGCTTGTGCCATGTAAATTTCAATATTAAACAAGATTGTTGTTCACAATCAGTTGGAGCTCGAGCAATCTCGATCAGAGGTTACTAAAGAATAAGTTTCATTGGTATACTTGTAACTAATCTAAGCATGGCATTTACTACAATATGATTCCCTAAACGAGATGTTTAGATATTGAGAACAGACCAGTAAAAAAAAGCAGTTAACTTGAAAGAACAGTTTTTTCGTCCATATTACGGAAGTCTAGTTAAAAAATCACATAGTTTAAAAAAGTGCATCTTTTTTTTTCTTTCTGATTTTCAATTATAATGATACAAAAATAAAATTAATAGAAACCTTTTAAACTAAAAAATGAGCCCAAGATTTAAAAACCAATTTTTAGGACGTACATGCAAAATAAAAAAAAATACAATTAAATGCTCAGTATTCAAAAATCAAATATATAACGAATACGTTATTTTTTTTTTAAATTGGCCAAACAATTCATTAAAATGTTGTAGACATTTAATCTAAATAATTGTTTGTACTCTTGTTTATAAAAAATTGTTTAAAAATATTTGACAGATCTATCTAAAAAAAATTAGCTAGGGGAAGTCTAGTACACCAATAAAAAAATGTATGTTTGATTATAAAAGTCTCTTTTGAAATCGCAGCACTGATATTGATAATCAATTTGAAAATCGTATCGAAAAGTTCTTAAAAATGATTTTTCAGTACAATTTAATTGAAAGCGTCAATCACTCGTTGATACTAATACTCGTATAGATTCATCAGGTAACTTTCTTTAATTTCCTGTTGTAAGTATGTATATAAAAAAAAAGCCAATGCTACAATTACGCGTGACCAAAGCAACCTACCCTCGTGACAATAATCAAACAAAAAAGCCACCCCTACCAACGCTGGGCCTGAAGACGCAGCAGGCAAAACTGGCCCTGCCAGCGCACTGGCGCACGAGCTCCTCAGCCGTGGCCTTGGTAAAGGTAAAGATGTTGGGCCAGTGTCCGAGCAGCATCCTCAAGGACTCCTTGGTCAAGCCGGGCTTGGTCTCGGTGTCGGCGGCAATCATGTCGTCCACGGTCTTCAGATCGGCTGGTGATCGGTAAAACTTCTCCTCCACCACCCGCTCGGGGCAGTGCGAGTAGGCGCTCGACACGAGGACGAAGACCTTGAGGCGCTTGCACTCGCGGGCGAGCTCGAGCATACGCCTCGTTCCGTGGACGTTGGTCTGAAGAGCCACGGTCACCTGTTCGTCGAGTCGTGGGCTCGAGCCGTTGTGGAATATCACGCTCGTCTGCTCAACGAGGCTCTTGTGGTCCTCGTCGCTGAGCCCCAGTCTCTCTTGCGTTAGGTCGCCCTTGATCGGTATCAGCTTCGACGTCAGATCGACCTTTGCTTTTCTGAGGCTCTCGAACACCTGTAGTGCGATGAATATGGGTTTTTTTTTTTTTTTTTTTTTTGCCCTTTGACTGCTGCCTCCCTTGATTAAATCGAATCAGCGAACGATCCTATGGTTTCGTTGGTAAACGCTACTTTTAACGATAAATCGGTGCATCTCATGTAGTTTGGTGATTTTTCAATGAATATTCTCTAACCTTTTAGTGAAATTTTACTGAATCGTTAGAGAAATTTTTATGTATCCATTGTATTCGTATCAATAAACATACACCGCAAATTATTGAAATTTCACTGATTCAGAGTACTTAATCGGTGTTTCTAAAATAAATAAACATTAAATGGTCGAACGATTAAATTCTTGAAAAACCGGCTAAATCTACTTTTGTTATGATTTTTTGAGGTGAATTTATTTCTAGTAATTTCGAAGCGATTTTTTAAATCGATTGGTACGTGGGAGATACCGTAGAGATCTATGTCTGACCAAACTCGAACTGTTCTACTTAAACTTTCGGTTCCAAGTTTTTCGACAACTCCAGCTTATCCTTTACACCAGTCATTAAAAAAACAATTGAAATAATTGTTCCTATGAGAGAATTTTTATAAAATATAAACTATGATTTTTTCACAATGTAAATGATGTATTAAATGTACATCCAACTGAGTTTCGCAACCCATCAACTTACTTTCGAAGGTAAAATTTTTAGTAAAACTCGTGCTTGAAATAATACTATCTTTTGTCTCATCTATATCCCACGTAGGTTTTTTTTGTCTATACGCAGTGATTTCACCGACTTAGCTTTCTTTTTGTAATAATTTTGCATGACATTATGGTGATTTCACATCGGAGAACGCGTTTCGAGTCAAATTCACCTCGATTATTGCAACGTTACCGTGCGACTCTACGGATATCTCAAAATCTCAGCGAATTTCCACTGTCAAAGAATCCAAACTTGTCATTAATTGGTAATTTTGAATAAACATTGATTATTCAACAGCTGGAATAAAATATGTTCTCGAGAAGGGAGCTCTTTAGTTGTTGCAAAAATGACTAACAGTGTTAGCATGCCGAGAGAAAAAAAAAATATAATAAAAATTACTATGTTAACCCTGTAAACTGGTGATATTACGTCTACTACATACTTTTTATTATTTACAATATACTTTTTATGGCAAAACTAAAAAGTAATTTCTACTCGTACTAAAAAAGTTACAAACAAGTCCCTAGTGGACAGAATACCACCAGTTAAGAGTGTTAGCGTAGTAACTTCCATAATTTCTTTTATCTCAAGCACTTGTAATATTTTTTAACAAAGGTCCTTATGTAGTTAAGGAAAAGTGACAGTTCACATTAAAAAAAAACAATCTTCGTAAAAAGTTACTAAAATATACACCTTCCTAATGAACTTTTAATGATATAAAGTTTTTATTATCATAAGTTGTGTTCTCTTGATTACAAAATACAAGACAAGTACAAACGGACAATAGTATACAAATCATATACTCAGTTGACAAAGTTGCTTAAATTTCATTAGAAGTTTGTAAAAAAAGGAACGTTTGGTGAACCAAAAAAGACATTAAGGCTTGACTTTTAAATTGATTTCATACTTCTTTCTTTTGCGTCATGTAACCACTGAACGACATCAAGTATAAGTTTTGACGATTACTGATCAGGTGGAGAGTCGCCTTAAGTAACCATCCCATGTACACACATCGTAACTGCTGCACTTCATGCTCGGAGAAAGCATTGTGTCGAACATTTGCACTTGTTTGAATAACCCATTATCAAACCGAGTCGGTTGCATAAATCGAGTGCGCACAAACTCTTCAATATTTATACACGATTGAATATGCGTTTACCGATGAAAAAGGCACAACGAACGAAAAAAAAAAAAAAAAAAAAAGTTCCAAATGAGCAGAAAATAAAAACATCACCTTTGTCCCCCAAAATGCCACTCCCAGCGTACGAATTATGCAACAAAAAGAACTTTCGGGAAAAACTCGGCCCGAGTCATTTCCAAGCGACTAGTTTGAATAATTCAGCCCCGCCTGATGCATAATTCACCGTCGTGCGGTGCAGCTCCGATGACGATTGCTTTCCCACGGTAAAACACTTTTTTTTTTTTTCTCCATACTCACCGGATCGGCGCGCAACTTGTCGCACTTGTCCCGAAAATCCTGGCCCTTTTTGACCCTCAACAGCACGTACACCCGGTCGAGACCGCGGCAGCTCCTCAACAGCTTCTCCAGCAGGCACTTGCCTAATAGATCGGTACCCCCGGTCACGAGGATGCTCAAACCCCCGTAGAACTTGGCCACCTCGCTCTCGGCCTTCTCGGTCGCCTCTTCGTCCGCCACCCTCTCTATGTCGTCTTTCATCCTCCGGTAAATGGTATCGACCACCGACATGTTTGTTGCACCAACTTCGGAGCTCGAAGCCAATGTCGCGCCGATTCGAGCCGAGAAGCGCAACTGAGGGGCCCGAGAAGCGCACGGGTGCTATTTATTCGCGAGTCGATTGTACAGCCGATCGAGCGAAATTCGCGCTTTTTGCTGACGCACCGTTGTGGTAGGTATTGCGCAACGCCCGTCACGGGAAACGGAAATACGGGCACTTGCCGTCGTACGACCAAACAGAATGAGAGAAGGAAAACAAAAAAAAAATGAAGGGGATGGGAGACACGAGTCAGGGATGAAGAAAGAGCACAGACATCGTTTGGTAGTATGGTTGAAAGATGGATTTATTAGAGCAACTTTCGAGTCAAAATATCATGGCGGCCGAGAGCAGTCGGTAGGCGTGGTAGGCGAGGAGTAGCCCAAGCCCGATGAACACGCCGTAGTGGAGAAGCTTCAGTCTACGGAAGCGCAGCCGCATCTGGGGCACGTTGTCCATGGACTCCTTCATCATGTAGATGCGGGTACCGCGTACGTACCAGCCGATGAAGGTCGCCCAGTCAAAGCCGCGCATGTCGAATTGGAAGAGCTTGCGGTCCTCTGGACCGAGGCGATCGTTCACCTTCATCGTTTCGGGCACGTGGATGCGCCAGTCGCCGTTTGTGAAGTAAAAGATTTTGTCCAGGTGCTTTGTGCCGAACCAGAACAACGAAAGACACCTGCAAGAGAGGGTTCGTCAGTTGGGGATTTTTTTGGTGTTTTTTTGTACAAATTATTTATTGGCTTGTGAGAGGAGACAACTTTTTTGTTTATCTTTGAGTAACAGATTTCGATATAGTAGTTTTCCAACGAGTTTGAAAAGTCTTTGTTTGCGAACCGAGAGGTTTGCGGCCCGAGCCGAAGGCGATTTTTTAGTGCGCCACATCAAATTTCCCAGACTGATCATGAAAAAAGTGTGTGGAAAACTATTTTCCGGTGTGCGGCAAAGATTTTTTATTTTCCAGTGTGCGGAAAACTGTTTTGATCATGTACAGCATTTCACTAAAGACTAATCATGTGCAATACCAAGAAATACTACGAGACTTCTCACTTTGTCTCGAAACCTTCAGTTCTCACCTTGGAAGTCTCGGTCTCGTAATTTTTTTGAAAGTCTCGAAGTCCCGTTAAAAAATTTCAAGACCTTAAGGACTCTCACAAGTCCCAACAAAAGTTTGAGACCTTAAACTTTCATAGGTCTTGAAGGAAGTAATCCAGGCTTTCAAGACTTTTGTTCATACATTTCATTACCATGACTTTTGCAATGGTAAGTCAACAACGCATTATAATATTACCTTGGTTTTCTTCCTGTAGCCAATAAAGCCAAATCCGCTAGCAGAGCCGGAATGAGGTGAAAAAGTATATGGCAGATGTAGAACGATAATTTATGGGAGCAAAAACACTGGAATGGATACCATACTACATGCTTGGATCCGACTCTTTCAACTTCATCGCGCATGTATTCAAACGCTGTATCTAAGTACATGGGCTGAATCGTACTGCTTCCGTAATTATACACAACTGGTCGTTTCTCCTTCATCCTGTGAACAAAAAGCCAAAACGCGACCTTTTTGAGATGCAAAATTTGAACAAGAGGACGAATGAAATAATATTTATTTTTTGTTTCCTAACTGGACATATGTAAACTAAAAATTTTTTTAATGAATTTTCTGTTTATAATTTTTTTTTTTTTTTTTTGCAGCCATTTAGACATACTAGTCTATTTGGCTCGTTATTAGTAGAATTTATCTTTATCTTAAGTTAGATTCAATAACTCTCTTTGCTTTTTTATAAGAGAATAAGTTTTGTACTAAGTTTTCCACAGAAAAACAGAAAACAGATTCACAAGATCGTGGTCGTGTTAATATAATGATACAATTCAATACTTTTACTAATGTCATATTTTGTTTATTAGTCAATCAATGACTACACTAAAAAAAATTGTACTTATTATTCGAAACATCTATGTCTACTTTTTCAATGGAATCGTTAGTTTCGTAAGTAAACAAACACGGAAAGGCGTCTACAATAATGATAATAACGTAAACATACGCACACACAATTTTCATAATAAAGGTTTGAAAATGTCGGTGTGAGAACTTTCCACTGAATTGACCAAAGTTTGCTAAACGATATAAATACTTACGTACTTAATATAACGTTTGCAATGGCACATGTCTTATTCTAAGCTCACGTGTATGTTAAAATGAAACAAGTTGATACGTATCTAAATAATTTCAAGAAAGTTTGAAATAAATAATTTTGCTCTTCAGAAAATTGACACTGAATTGAAATTACATGGACGTCCATTTAGTCTTTGTATTATTCGTTAGCACAGTCAGCTTGTAAGTAAATAATGTTTCCTATTTGTCTTGACAGCATTTAAACAATTTAAAAAAAAAACTTAAAAATACAAGATTAAAAAATATTTTAGAAAAATTGTAAGGACGTGTACCAAAGAGTTTCAATAACGCTTAATGTTTCACTACTTTTGTTATTAAAAATCGTTTGAGTAGTTTTTATGCAAAATTTTGTACGTAAATAATGTACCTTTTTGTAGTCATAGTATCGAAACGACACCTAAACAAAAATAATCTCATTTATTTAGTTACTATTAATTATTTGTAACAAAATTAACCTACATAATTTATTATATGCTATTAGTAAATCTTTTCAATAGTTATTGTCGATAATTTTTTTTTGAGAAATTGAATTTTAAAACGCGATTTGATTCTGCCATTAAATAAAACAATAAATTATTCTTATCAGCAATAAGTTCATAAAAATTTCTATCAGTTACTAAAAATTGTTTAGTAATTATTAATAAACAGTAACACTTGTAAGCTATAAGTTTAAATTAGTTACAATTTATGACAGTTATTTTTTTTATTTTTTTTTATTCTTGTGAGATGTCAGACAAAGAGAAAAAAAAAAATGATGCCAACTAACAACAACCGTTAATAAATTTTATTTTCAGTCTCAAGTTAGACCTTATTATTTCTAATAGTCGGTTATCATCACTTGTTACTTATTCACTGAGATGATGTTCACTCGGGCAACATTTAAAATGAGGGCCCAAGCTACGTTACTTCAATTTTAAATAATAAAATCTATTTTCATTGGACTATAAAATTTAGCTTGGACTCTGATTTAATACATACACAATAAAATAGAGAGTCTGTATGATATTTTTAAAAAGTATTAAAGATTTTTTCTCAAAAACCTTCAAGTGTTGCACTTTCTGCTATCGAGAAGTAAAGTAAAAAACTGAAAAATCAGCGAATATTGATCAACTATTCAATAATTGTCAATAATTTGCTTAATAATGTTCTCCAATTATTTTAGCAAGCACAATATGCTGGACCCCGAAGTCAAGAAGGTGGTGGACGAGTTGTTGAAACTCGAGCTGAACGAACGAGCTCAGCAGCTGATAGTAGACCTCGTGTCAGCCCTGACTAAGAACGGGGGCAGGGTGACCACACCATCGCCGAAAAAAAATCTTGCTCCGTCGGTAACTCCTTCAACATCGAAGGAAAAGTCCAGGTCTGCCTCCAAGGATACCTTGAGCATAGATATCCCCAGCAAGCGCCGGTTACTGGGCTCGCCCGAGCATTTGCTGAAGCAGAAGAGCAGCTCGGCGAGAGTGGAAAAGACCTGGGCGCAGCTCGACTCGGCGTTAGAAAAGGCGCACGAGTCGTACTGCGCTTACCGACTGAAACTCAGTGAGGCTCTCGAGAAGTACGAGCAGTTCTACGAAGCGAGCCCGGACGCGAACAAAGTGTGCAACAAATGGCAGGTTTTTATGACGGAGCACCAGATCCTTGCCAAGCAGTTCGACGAGTACGGAGCCTGGCGCCAGTGTGTCAGGGGTGTTGCCGACGGGGATGAGCCACCAGAGGATCAGAAGGTGCTCGATGACGATACGTGCGAGACCCAGGAGATGCACTGGGAGGCGCAGAGAAAAATCAGGCTGGAACGGATCGCCTCGGTGGCCAGAGAGGTTGAGTATTGGCAGGCAGAGGCCAAGCTCGCGCACAAGGATGCTGAAGATGCGTTTAAGAAGTGCCAAAAAATGCGAAAGGTGGTCGAAGAGTTTAAGAGGAAAAGGGAGCGCGAGAATAGACGCTCGGATGAGTTTGTGGATGACGAGTGAGGTTTTTTTTTTAATACAAGGGGGATGTTGAGATTTTCTCCTTTGTTCTGTGAACTTTGAGGTGGAAATTGTTGGCAAGTAATTTGAATTACAATTATTCAAAAAGCGAGATCTCAAAACTACATTTAGAGAAAGCCTTAGTTCAATTTTTATGGAATAAACTTGTTTTTTGTGGATTTTTTGGCTTGATTTGAGCAAATAGTGATCCAAGTTATCTCTTTGTTAACAAAAAAAAGTAACTGAAAGTTTATTGATTTCTCAGAGACAGTACCAAATTTTTCGATCCTGAAAAAACTAGTTGATCTCGCTTCAAAAGGGTATTTTAAGATTTTGCGTTTCATTTACAAAATGACCCCCTTTGACATCGATTTTTACACTTTCATTTCACGAGAGCTACATTTGTATTTTGCGGTTTTAAAAGCTGTATCGTTCAATTTGATCGTTTTTCAAGATATTGCTTGTAAAGTAACAATCCCATTAACTTATAAAGGTTTGTACCAAATAAAAATATATGTGAGGCTATTAGGCTTTTTATGGTTATAAACAAATTTTTTACTTAAACATTTTTTTGAAAACTTTACAACTACGACTTTACAAAGTTCCACGTTTTTCTTGATCATGTCTTTCAATGCTTAGTATACATATTTAAATAAAACAATTAAAATTATACGAAAATCTCTGCTGAAAACGATTATGGCATTAAAAATCACGTAAATTGATTAAAATAAAAAATAAAATAAAAACTGAAGACAATAACAAGACAAGATGTGAGGCAAAATATTAATCTAAAAATCTTGATACCACGAAACCCCTAATACCGTTATTTTGCACAACGACTCGGTACAAATACTCACCATCGCTCGGGAAGATCATACGTAGCCGCGATCAGAGCATTGATGCTGAAATCAACGGGGATCATGTCCATGGGAGTGTTCAAGTAGTAAGACGTATGGATGAGGCCCAAGCCAGTGCCCAAGAAGACGTAAGCTGGCCCGTTGTTGTTACCGATCCATCCACGGAGCGGCTCGCTGTGCGCAGCGCTAACTAGAACAAGCAAATGTCAACACACCAATCGTATACGTAAAATGAAAAAAAAAAAATAAATAAATAAAACTTTTAACTCAAAACTCCGAAAGTCACGTAGTAAATAAACAAACAAACCAACACTAACCGATACTAGGCCTGTAGACTCCGCAGGCAAAGTTGGCTCTCTCCCCGTAGTGACGGACCAGATCCTCGGCGATGGACTTGGTGAAGGTGTACACATTCGGCCACTTGCCGAGCAGCATCTTGACGGCGTCTTCAGTGATGCCGAGCTCGTTCATCGTGTCGGCCTCGATCATGTCGTGGACGATTTTCAAGTCTGCCGGGGCGTCGTAGAATTTTTCCTCGATGTCCTTGCGGTAGCAGTGAGAGTACGCCGTCGAGACGTACATGAAGGCCTGGACGTGCTTGCACTCGAGCGCGAGATCTAGTAGGTCCCTCGTCGCGAGGACGTTAATTTTCAGGGCCACGCTGACCTTCTCGTCGAACTTGGTCGTTGCTCCGCTGTGGACTATCACGTCCAACTCGTTGATCAGCAGGGCCCGGTCTGACTCCGACATGCCGAGTCGCTCGTTTTTCAGGTCGCCCTTTATTGTGACGACCTTGCGCGCAAAGTCCGGCTGCGAGTTTCTTAACCTGCCAAAGATCTAGAATTTTAATAATCATTCGGTTAATCTTTCGTTTAGGAAAACTTTTTTTTTTTTGTTTTTTTGTTTTTTCATCTTTATCATTGCTATTTGTATAATTGTGTCGTGTTTGTGAAGAAAAAAAAACTGGGGATCAAAGAATCGTGTTCCATCGATGGTGCACTTTAGTCGTGTGACTGAATTTATTTGGGGGTCTCTGAAAAATCACGAGGTAGAGTGAGCCAAAATTATAAACGGAGAATAATGTGATGAACATTTTTTTTTTTTTTTTAATTGCTAAGTTCTTAAAGTCGAATATAACAAGCTATGGGACACATTATTTTTGTATTTTTTCATACAAAGAATTAACACTATCACTACCTCTGGTGAAATCCAAAATGTTTAGCAGGTCAAAAGTTACGGACGATTTAAGTAAAGATTTTTTTCTTTTACGTTGTTTCGATATTTCTTCGGAACACTTGTGCTCATATTCTTTTACAAATTTAATTTCAATTCGTTTTAAACTGAAAGTACTCTTAATTCCACAAAAATTGATAAAATGTATAAAAATCCGTAAACTTTTTTTATTCATTAGAAATTTTTTACTATTATACACCATATTTACTCCTTACTCTGTGATGTTGATAATGCATACATTTACTCTAACGAAAGCAATGAAAGTATACATCAACGCATTATATAGAAACCATAGACTTAACATATTGATTAAATGGACTCATCAGACTTCATTGAGCTTGAAAAATGGTAGGAATAGTATTGTCTGTTAAAATAAGTCATGTCCCAACCTATAGGTATTTAAAATTCAAATTACTTATTCTAGAAAAAAGTTTAACGAACTATGTTTAGTTACCAATTCTAATAGTCGCTAAAGTTTGAAAAATATTATTTAGTACATATCGTGAACTACGGATGTTGTGATGTGTACATATAGCATATTGTTTTTGGTGTTACTTACGATATTTAAATTTTAAATTATTATAAACTGTTAATGCGTCATTTTACAGACAACGGAATTTTCCGTGTCCCCATCGATTGAAACGTCATTTATAGAACTTTTTAGGGATTTATAGAGATTTATAGAGATTTAAATTCTGCTGAACACAGAGTATTTTTTTTTTGCAAAAGTTACAACAAAAAACATTTTATAATAAATAATTGCTTTTGTTCTAAATAAAAAAAATTGGCTGAATTGGCGTTATGGCAAAGTCATTAATATTTGCATTATTTTTACAAGCAATTATGTTTAGATGCTGAAATTCATACGTTTTGTACTCTACGGAGATTGAGGATGTTGCAGAATTTTTTATTCAAATTTTCCATCATGATTAGACGATATCATAGACTTGCGAATTTCTTAAGTTAGTACCTATCTGCAAAATAAAAACTAAAGGCTCGTTACAATTTAGAATTTAGAGTTTTTTCGTCAAGTATTCAGTTATCGAAATGGAAGGTAAAACACTAAAATATCTGTTAGGTATATAGTTTGAGTGTAAGGGAGAAGTTTAATTCTTATTTAGTGCGTCAAAACCTCAGTTTTACGACAATTTTTTAAGAGCTCGCAACGGTCTTTTTTTACTCATAATATTACTCATACAAATTTTTTTTGCAAAAATCTAGAGATAAGCCTGAATATTTATGGCTTATTTTGATTTTGGTCACAAAAAATATTTTAAAAATTTTAGAAAAATAACAAACTATCTTTTAGTCTTTGCTCATTGCAGCCTTCGAAGTATGTCGGTTTTAGTGAAATGATGAATATTTAATTGTAAAATTTTACAAAAATCATTAAATAACTAAAAATGAAGACAGGTTGGTATTTTAAAACTTTTTGTCGAAAAAATACTTTATATATCCATACGTAAAAAAATATTTCAATGGTATTCATAATATTCACAATTTATTAACATAATTTTGTAAGTAAAGGATTTCTTTTATTTACTGCCATCTCAATGTTTTACAACAAACAAAAATGTATAAATCTTAAATTGTAACTTAATGTTGTTATTCACATCAATTTTAAGCAATTATTGAATATTGCAAAAAAAATGAACAAAGATATTCTTATTAAACATTTCAATAAAGAGTATAGTCACATACATTTTTTTATTTTTTTACATTAGTAACTTTTTATTTTGTTTATTTGTTTATTATTTAATACTACTGTTATGCAAAAGCTTATTTTTTAAAGAAACAAAACAAATTATTAGAACAGAGACTTAATTAAAACAAAAATGAATCCCTCTGTGTTTTATTNGTGAACCCAATCATTGACGGATCGCCCGTTTATGTACACTCGTTCCAATGTGATTGAAAATATTCGGGCATCGTCAATAAATACCTCGTGAAACTTCATTCTCATCCCAACAATAGTTATTAAATAATTTTTTTTTTTTAACTTTTACCAGTTTCGTTGAAATATACCCATACAATAAAATTTGCAATTCTAATCGTACGTGTTATTCACAAAAGCTCGATTACTACGCCTTTTCATTAAAATTTCGGAATATTTTAACTTGTTCCTAAATAATACATGACATGGGAAATTCTCGTCACTTCCAAAATCGCCATTTCGCGTATATATTTTTTGTTATCTTACAAAATCAGTACTATGAATAGTCAAATAAATAAATTCCAATAAAGCGTTGGCATATAATATAATTTGTATCAATGCCTATTGTGATACAGCTTGATAAGTAATATTTTATTAAATTTAATTTTTACGTATTATATATATAAATAGGCTTCTAAAAATCCTCAAATTTTCTAAGTAAGTAAATATACAAAATAAAAGAAAAGTTTTTTTCATAAAGTAACTCATTTTTTCACGAGAAATTCAAATGAAGGTCTCACAAAACCATTGTATTGCAGTAAAAAAAAAAAATCCTCCATACTTAACGATAAAAATGTACAAACAAATACGCAAGAAAATCCTAAAGGTTTTTAAATTTAATTAAATTTAGTTGCATTTCAAAATGGCTAAAATGAATCTTGACACATTTTACGCATTAAAAAATTTCCAATCGATCAATCAAAAATTGAAAGGAACATAAATGCGTTAATGGGACATTGATCAAAAAAAAAAAACAAAAAAATAAAATAAAAATATAATAAAAATAGAATATCGTACTCACAATGTGCTGAAAGTACTTTTCCATCTTCTCCTCCAAAGTGTCCGTCCCCTTCTGTCTGACGACGATGTAAAGGGCCTTGAGACCTGGACAGACCCTAATAATCTTCTCGACAAAGACCTTGCCCATGAATCCCGTGGCGCCGGTTAACAGCACCGACTTACCCGAGAAAAATTTCTGAATCTCGGTCTGGCTCAGGGAGTCCACCAGCTCAACTTTCCTCGTTTCGGTGTCGTCGTCCATTCGCGCGTAAATACCGTCCATCACGTCCAGAGTCATGATGTTGCACGGCTACAATGGTCAAGTGCTTCCTACGGATCCAAGTATGCGTATGCCCGGGGCCACCCGAATCACCTGTGCTCCACTGCCGCTCCTACTTACTATGCGGCTCGCGACACCACCACCAGGTATATAACTTCCAATCGCATATATATATATACGCACTCCAAAGCTTCGTGAAAGAAAGAGGGAGAGGAGAAAACGCACTGGTGGTTGTACTATGAAACAGCCCAGGGTGAGAGTAGGAGAATTTCGATTAAGAACCGTGATGCTCGAAACTTATGACTAACATAACGCATCCTCGACCTTTGCCAAGGCTGTGAGAATGTACGATTAACGAGTGAACAATTGATCAATGCTAAATCCTAAGTTTATACTTTTGCCGATCGATCCTGCATTTGGTCACTCTCTACTGTTACTTTAGCTGCTGGTTTTAGAGCAACGGGGCAATAAGACAGTTCCCGTTCATCATCTTTGAGACACGGTGACGAGAGAGCTTGGCCATGAACACTTTTGCAAGTGTATTTACCTTCTACAAGTTTTTACGAATAATATGATTAATTATTTAAATCATTTTTTTCCAGCAAAAATGATACGCTGTATAATTTTGAAAGATAAAAAAATCGAAGAAAAAAGTTTCAAAATATTTATAACTTAGTTCAAATGTTTTATAAAAAACTTTATTCTCCGAGATTGTAATATTTTTGGCAGAAAATATTTTTTATTCTATTGTTTTATAAAAAGATGTAAGAAAATGTTTTCAGCAAAAATGCTGCTTCGAATTTTCGACAAAAAATTTTTTTTAAGTCTTTAAAAAATCTATAAAATGATTGGGCAGTACAGCTCTGCAGCGGGTATTGCGTATGTAAAGGATCGTTTTCCGGGTTTTGCGTGGCCGAGAACCCTTACAGCGAAAATACGGAAAAATACCAAAAAAATTCATTAGGTCCGTCAGATGGACTATCAAAATATGTTAAACACATATTTTTTCTTTTTTCACATAAGTAAAGACTGACGGGCGTAAAGCGTGTAAAATTTGCTTGATTAACGTAGTGACGTCATAAGAATATATACATTTTAAATGTAATTGTTTTACCACAACATGACGTCATTCCAAACTTTAATGAGCTCTATCTTCGTCAGTTATTGTTCATGTGAAAAAAGAAAACATGTGTGTCTCATACTTTTCGATAATACATCTGACTGATATAATAAAAATCAATTTTTGTTTTCCATCACTACCATGTTTTTTCTAAATTTTTCACTAATCAATATCAATGAACAATTTATTTTAACTGTAACACGAAATAATCATCAACAATCTCGAGTATTGTAAACATGATCATTAATTAATGCGTTGAATGATTATCAGCTTTTACTCGCGTCCTTATACGTAGGAAAGAAGTAGAATATCTTGATGAGCAAATATTAAATATGGAAAATATTAGTTACAATACATCTATAATTTTTTGCATGTTTTTTTTTGGATTTCTTCGATCTCATAACTAAAATTTTCAAAAAATACAGTTGTACGTAAGATTACTACTGTTAGATTAACTGTACGATTATTTTGATGTATAGGTGCAACTTTAAAGAAAGTGTGTGTGTGTGTGTGTAGTATAAAAAATTAGTACTATTGTATGGATCCAATTGTGTATATAAATGTAAAGACCTTCAAGGTCACATATTTATGATTAATCAATTTATTTACCCATGAAATACAATACTACAAGTCAGAAAAATTTTAAGGGTCAGAAATAAATTATTCAAATTCTAAAATTACAGAATTAAAAATTTTACTAATATTTTAATTGTCTTCTTTTTCATTAATAAAATTATAGGTCTTATTATTATACAATATTTGATCTAATTTTTTTTCATTTTCCCAGTTAAGTTAATGATTAATTGTTTAAACGCTCCAGGGTTTAAAAATTAAAAAATCTTAAAAAATATTTCTTCTACACTCGTTGTCATTCTTGAGCTTGTCTTTTTGTCTCGATAAACTATTTTACTGTTCAATTCTTACAAATCAAATCATAGACTACTCCAGTGTTTGTAAGGATCAGAATAACATCCTTACTCAATTTTATAATGTTAGTTGTTATATAATTTTACAATGGTTTGACTGTAAAATTTTTTTTTTTTTTTTTTTATTAAAAAAAAAAAAAAAAAAAAAAAAGTATATACATATTGACAAGCTTTCAAAGCAAAACATAATGCTTATATAACACGGTTCTTCTCGGCGCATATTGTCACTTGTGACAGCAACATACTACCTACTGGTCTGAGTAACCTTAATGTGGCTCTGGATGCTTCAAATCTCACTCGAAAATTTGTGTGATCACTGAATCACAAATATACGAATCAACATTTCACATGGAATCGTCAAGTGGACTTGTGCAGTGTTGACTTATGAATAAAGATAAGTTTGCCGTCTACCTGTGAGTAATTTTTATACGACAATTTTTGCGGAACGAAATTTAGAAAAACGCACTATAAAAAATAGTAACATAGATTTTTATAGATTAGTAAATGATTTAGGTTTTATTATAACGTTTGGAATTTATTTGGCTAATTATGATTGAGTGGTCAATGTTTTCAGCAGTTACTTGTGATAGTGAAAGTTTTTTTTTTTTAATAAATATAACCTCTAGAGATAACTTGTTAGCTGAATTAAAAGAGTAAGAATTAAGTACATTAAAATATTCCAATAAGTTTGAAGTACGAATTAAGTTTTTTGAAATTTTTTGCACTTAATTGTTTTCTGATGAAAATATCTTCAAGTTGAGATACACCAAAATCCGTGACCCACAACCTCGTGAATGTTTATGTATAAACTTATCGTGTAATACGTTTTGAAAGCATGCTCGTATATTTCATTCTTCAAAAGGAACTCGTGGCAATAAAAAAAAAATTTGAATTAGCGACGATAGAGTTTAGCCTCTATTCTAACATATATATAT